TCTGTCAACAGACAATAGAGGATTAGCCTGAGCTACATAGTAAAACTGTGTCAGACAATAGACAAGCCAGTGTCTTATGATTAACAAAACCAAATATGTGAATCTGTCATGTATTTCAGTAGAAGATACTTGTATTTTAGCCTTCTGTAACTGAATTTTTTTTTTCTGTTTAAAAACCCCAAACTTACAGATAAAGTTACCTCAGGTTTCAAGATAATAGAAAGGTGATTGCTTTTGTTTTTTATTTTGTTTCTCTGTGTAACGACAGCTCTGGCTGTCCTGGAACTCATTCTGTAGACCAGGCTGGACTTGAACTCAAAGGAATCCGCCTGCCTCTGCCGCCCAAGTGCTGGGACTAAAGATGTGCACTACCACACCTGGTGAAAGTTGATTTCTTATTTATTTATTTTTAATCTCATCAAGCCTCTCAGGATTCATCTGCCGAGGTCACTGAGATGTCTCAGTGAATAAAGACATTTGCTGAGCGAGTTTGACAACCTGAGTTTGATCCCCAGAGCCCATGTAAGGTGGCATTCAGGTCTGCCTAGCACAGCTGGGACAGGTCCTTGTGGATAGTGACCACAGGAAAGACTACCCCAGCAGGCACCTTCCAAAGCTGCTGGACAGTGTGAGCAACAATCAACTCAGCAAATAAAATCGATGCTGCCAAAGCTCCAAGAATCACCAGATGTATACTGTGTAGAAGGTTACTGGTGCTTCCCGGAAGGGCCCGTTCCAGCACTCATCTGCCACCCACTCCGCAGCAAGGCGAAGGAGAGGGGGGCACATATAAGTTGTTCCAAGCCTTGTTCTGAGACTGGTGACCCGGAGACAGCAGCACATCCACTCGGCTCAGAGATGCAGAGGAAAACACAGAAGGGACTGAGACAATGAGCAGCGGTTCTGGGAAAAAGGACAGAGCTAATCTCATCCCAGCCTTTCTAACCTGCCCGCCCTGTCTGGTATGAAAAGCAGCAAATGTTAAGTGATCTTACCTCATTGCCTCGTCCACCAACTGAAGAGGCCAAAGACTCTTCCAGGTCCTCTGCTAATAGGGACACACTTTCCCTTGGAGTGACAGACACCAGGCCACTGTTCCTAGAAAAAAGGATCGGAACACCGCCACAGGAGCCAGCGCCCAAAATGCCATCTCCTGAGAAAAAAATGCACAAAGATTGCATAGAACAATTTCTCAGATTTCCGATGACCTGCATCCTTTTACCTTTATGACACCTAAAATTAAAATGCTACGGCATAAATGAATTTAATTTGTTCTTACTTTCTTTGTGGAGACAGCCTTACTATGCTGACCGGGCTGGTTTAGGCTGGTAGTTTTGTGCCTTCACCTGCCTCAGCCCCTAGAGTTTATGTTCTACTTTGGCCTCAGCTTTTAAATTGTAAAAATGTCAGGATCCTGTTGCTTCTCAATAAAGCAGACTGTCTTTCCATGTTAAAGACAAGAAAAACTGGGCTGGAGATGACTCAGCAATTAAAGCACTTGCTGTCTCCGCAAGAGAGTTCAGTTCTCCCCCCACCCCACTCCCGAGACAGGGTTTCTCTGTGGCTTTTTAGCCTGTCCTGAAACTAGCTCTTGTAGACCAGGCTGGCCTCAAACTCTGAAAGATCCGCCTGCCTCTGCCTCCCGAGAGTTCTTAGTGGCCTCACTGGGAGGCTCACAACCTCCTAAAACTCTACAGGAGACTACACCCTCTTCTGGCCTCCACTGGTACCCTTGTACCTACATAAATAAAAGTCTAAAAAACAAAAACAAAACAACAAACACCCCCAAAACAAAACCACAAAACTTGTCGTTGCAAGAGAACAGTGAGCAAAATCCATCCTCAATCCCTCCAAATTCTTTGTTCTATAAAACCCAGAATGGCAGCATCTCCACCCTGTGGCATCCTCTTGCTTCTTGCCTAATGGTCTTTCTCTACAGGGCCAATCCAGGCAGTAGCCAGCCTACTCTGGTCCCTCTGTGTGGACTACCACCTAGGTTCCATCTGTGGCCTGACCCAGGCCCTGTCCTGTAGGACTATATGCTTGTCAGCAACTACTTGGCTGGTCTGTATTGCAGGCCAGACCCCAGGAGTTTTCCCGCCGGGGGTCTGGACAAACTAGCTTAAGAACGCTAACCCAGCCTGAGCCACTCTCCCAAACCAAGATGAGCACTGACTTCTCTCGAGGTAGCTCTTGCCTTCTTGTCCCTTCTGGGGAACCTTTTTTTGGCGGGGAGGAGGTACTAATTTTGCCTATAAAGATAACAGTTTGTGAATTCTACCCACCCTTGGGTATTCAGTATGACTGTGAATTCAGCTACTGCCAACAGTATTAATATTTCTAACGGGCAAGTAGCAAACCAGAGGCAAAATGAACAGTAAAAAAAAGAGAAACTAAAGAATGGCTAATGAGCTGGCCAAAGTGCTTGGATTTAAGGATCACTTATTGAAGACTGTGTAACACTGGTAGGTGAATAGACATGCATAAGAGAAAAACAGAGTCCAGAAAGACACCACATGCATAGGAGTAACTGAATTCTGACAAAGGTGAAAACATAACTTTTCATCTAAAGCAGCCATCCATGTACCTTGTGCATCAAAGACAATTTTCTCCTGAGGAAGAGAAAACTTCCCAGTCCCCGTGGAGCACACAAAGACAGCATTGTCCATATAAAGATAGGCCATCTGGCTTGAAAAATTTGGCACCATCAATCGACATGGAATCAAGTCTTCAGACTGAAAGGTAAATTTAGGATTATAGTTTATAAGAATCAAGACAAAAATATTTGTATGATTTTTGCAACTACATTTATATGACACCATTCCACAAAAATATGTTAAAATTCTCAGTCACTGAATATCCTTGTGAAAGTCTACACAAGACGATTCACAAAGGCAGGAGAGGGTTACAGTCACTGCTGGGCCTGGACATTGGTGTCCTGGAATCTAGGAATTTAGCCGACTGCTAAATGTGTGAACATGTGGAGTCTTGGGAAGACTCTGCTGAGAATTAGCCAGGCGGTGGTGGTGCACGCCTTTAATTCCAGCATTTGGGAGGCAGAGGCAGAGTTCAAGGCCAGGCTGGTCTACAGAACTAGTTCCAGGACAGCTAGGGCTGTTACACAAAGAAACCTTGTCTTTGAAAACCAAAAGAAAAAAACTGATTTAAGAGAATTAGATGCTGCGTAAGGCTACATGACATGTTTCACAGCTGTCCCCTGGTAAGTATCAGTTATTAGACAACACGGTTTGTTTTGTTTAGTTTTGGTTTTTCGAGACAGGGTTTCTCAATGTAACAGCCCTAGATGTTCTGGAACTAGTTCTAGTAGACCAGGCTGGCCTTGAACGCACAGATATCCATCCACCTACCTCTGCCTCCCAAGTGCTGGCATTAAAACTGCTCAGCTAGATAATCGCTGCTTATATACTCAACATTAGTGCAACTGTCTTTCAGGGACTTACTGTGTAGAGTATGTAAATAGAGTTGTTCCCTAGACACATGAAATTTTTCTATAATATAAAGGTCTCCAAATTGGACCCTAGGAAGACAGGGTAGAACATACTAATAACATCAACAACTTGAGAGATGAGACAGAAAGCTCTTAACTGTAGTCATACCGGGCTACACATCTCAGACACAAAACAGCACACATCAAACACATACACAAACCAAAATGAATCCAAGTATTTCACCATGAACCTCACCATCAGATTTCATTTTTACTCAATAAAGAGCTACAGCAGGAGGGTCAGAGGACCAGCTGCTGGATACCTTCACTGTCATCTTTCTTTAGCTCGGACTGGACCAGAAAGTAAGACAGAAAAACAAAAAAGCAATAATATCTGAAAGTATTTCCAAATCTTGCAAATGAACCTTAAAAAACACCAATGGTCAGAGAAGGAATTTGATGTGTTGTGGTGTCTGAGTGATTTTACTTACCTGGAAAGGTGGGTTGTACTGAGTAACTTCTACAGTAATCGTATCTGACATTTGGTTACCACTGTCTTCCACCGTTATCAGAGAGTAATAGACGAGGCAGGGACTGTCTCCCAGGTGCCATGCTGCTGCCAAAACCAGGAGTCCATCACTAGACAAGAGGGGGAAAAAGACAGGCTTCTTGAATGTGGGTTTTTTTTTTTTTTTTGCTGTTTTTTTGTTTTGTTTTGTTTTTCCCTTTGAGACTGTGTTTTACTACACAGCCCTGGCTGTCCTGGAACTCTCAGCGCTCCAAAGTTATGTGCCACCAAACCCTGTAGGCTTCTTTGTAAACAGTATGCCAGATTATTTCAAAATTAAATACACTCACCATATATGGTAGAGCCCTGTACCTATATATTACCAAGGGAGAAAAAAATATGTTCATAATTACCTTCATGCAAATGCCGGCTTTATTACAGGAGCCAACCTGAAAATAACCCAATGTCTTCCACTGAGGAGATACATCCTGGTCTGTCTGTCTCTCTGTCTCTGTCTCTCTCTCATATATATATATATATATACATATATATATATATATATATACACACACACGTGTATACATGTACATATGTATACGTGTGTGTATATACGTGTATTATATATACGTGTATATACGTGTATATATACGTGCATATATACGTGTGTATATATATGTATATATAGTCTCTTAAATATATGTGTGTGTGTGTGTGTGTATATATATATATTTTAGTCCCAGTACTTGGGAGGCAGAGTCAGAGGCAGAGGCAGGCAGATCTCCATAAGTTTGTGGCCAGCCTTTATAAGTTTGGGGTCAGCCTGGTCTACAGAGTGAGTTCAAGGACAGCCAGGGCAACACAGAGAAACCCTAAAAAACCCTGTCTTGAAAAACTGAAAGGAAAAAAAAAATTTCTGAATCAGTTTTAAATCTACCATGTCAAAGTTTTATTTATACTGCATGATTTATTTATACACCATTCTGAAAAAGACAGAACTTTGAAGACAGAAGAGATCAATGAGTTCCAGGGGAACAAAAGAATTTTGAGGAAAGGTGATCTCTTTCTCCACCACCCCCTCTTACTGAGGTTCAAACTCTGCCTTATGTATGAAGACACTGCTCTACTACCGAGCAACACCCCCAGCTCTGTTCTATGTCATGACTATGGTCAAGATGATCGTATGTGCTGGGCGATGGTGGGAGCACGCGTTTAGTCCCAGCACTCGGGAAGCAGAGGTAGGCAGAATCTCTGAGTCAGAGGCCAGCCTGGTCTACAGAGCTTGTTCTAGGAGAGCCATGCTTACACAAAAGAAACCCTAACTCAAAAACAACAACCCCCTCAAAGCAAACAAACAAAAACCCAGAACAAACAACAACAAAAAAGATGACTACATGCACTTCGCAAGACTCACAGAGAGTCAGGCATGGCTGGTGGTACACACCTGTAAATCCATTACATGAGGCATGGAGGTAAAATAAGGCAACAAAATAGTCTTAAATTTTGTTGTTTGCAACAGGGTCTTATATCGCTCAGGCTGGCTGGGAACCATAACCCTCCTGCCTCAGCCTTCCTGAGTGCTGAGACCACAGACTGAGCTGCCAGGCCCTGCCTGAGAACTGTTGCTAAGAGAAAACTGACTCCAAGCATAAACCATGCTGAGTCTGGTTTGCGCTGGAGGGACACAGCTTCATGAAATCAGCTCAGCCACTGACTATGGGACACAAGAGCTCCTTCCTGACAGTGATGAGAAACTGATGTCTCCATGGAGACCGGAGAGACCACTGTTCAGGAATCCCTTGGCAACAGAAAGGTGTTGGCATTGCCTTAAGATGGAATAAAGACAGACAGAGCTGGTCCAGCTAGCTGTGCAGGCCAAGAAGCTTCAATGGGGTGGCAGGAATACCCCATTTAAAGCTGAGGAGTGTTTCCATTAACCACAGGAGCCTGCAGCACCACGAAGAAACAAGAGACCACTCCGAGGCTCAGCAGACAGTGAGACGAGCAGAGTCAGCAGCGCAGGCAGCAGGACACATGTCACTACAGAGATGCCAACGCGTTATCCAACTTCTTTAGGACAAATCAGTTACTTACCAGGTTTGCTTCAAGTCCAAATACTGAATGTGGACCCCTTCTT